AAAATAAAAATAAAAAATAAAAAAAAAAAGTTTTTATTGCATTGTAAAAAATTTAATTTTTAAAATATAAATAAATATAATTTTTAGTTTCTATAACACAAAAACAAATATGTCAGGAACCAAATCATTAACATCTAAATTTGAACAGTAAGTATATTTTATATTTTTAAAAGTATAAAAGTATTAATCTTAATATTAATATTTTCTTCTTTCTAAAGAGAAATAAAAGACGCTAACGAAGTAAAGACAAGTGGCAAAAAAGAAAGAGTATGGACTCCACATTCTGATGACTCATACACAGTACAAACTAAATTAAAATCTCCACAAGGTCCACCACCAAAGAGATCAATTGCTTCACTTCCATAAAACTATATAATTTATAAAATTCATTCATTAACCAAAACATTATATTATTAAATGTAAATAAATTAAACCTAAATAAATAATATCTGTATTTGTTTTTCTCAATTTTCTTAAAAAAAAATATTTATTTATTTATTTATTTATTGCTTTTTAAATTCGAAAAGGGATTTATGGGAATATCTACTTGCAAAAAGAACTTGATAAATAACATCTAGGAATTTAGCTTGATTACAACTATCAAACAATTGTTTAGTGTTTAATTTTAATATTTCTAAATCTTCTGAGCAATAGTTAATTGAAGTATTGATATTGAATCTTGATAATTTTGAATCACTTGTTTTATTTAAATTTAAAAATAAATTTGAGATAAACTCGAAAAGAAAATCGAAGGGACCAAGGCCAATAGTAAGATCGATTAGATTTCTAGAGCATAAAAACAAGGAGACTAATTCTTCAAACATCAAATTACTTATTCTGGATGGATGCACTGTGCTGTTACAATAATGATTAAATTTAATGATTTGCAGAGTTTTATCATCTTCTTTAAAATGTTTCTTTATCAATCCCCAATATTTGCGGGCCTCCTTGAAACTCCCTTCTATCTCCTTGGAATCTCTTATGTCTAGATCTTCTGTTCCATAATAATCGTTAATATGGAACACTGAATAGCAGTAACAAGAATTTTCACCCAATTTAACTTGATCATCCAATAAGTATTCTAATCTATTGAAACACATTTCCATTGATAAATGTCTGATATTTGGTGATGCTTTTAATATACAATACATTTCTTTTAATGATAGACCATTGTATGGTATTTCATAAAAAACAATATCTTTTAAATAATTGATATTTTTAATACTTTGATTTATTGCTAATTTATTAAATACCTCTATAAAGTTATTTTCGTTATTATTATTATTATTATTATTATTATTATTATTATTATTATTATTATTATTATTATTATTATTATTATTATTATTATTATCACTATCATTTTTTTCTAAAATGTTACCAGATAATTCAATGAATGGAAACCCACATCTTGAAATAAAGAAAATTTGTCTTAATGATTTCTTATAGAGTTGGAAAATATAGAAAAGAATATTAATGTCCGGATTATTTGTTAAAGCTATTGAATAGAGACCTGAAATTTTTTTATTTAGACTATCTATATATTCTTTAGAAGTATGATTCGATACCTTAAGTTCCAAAAGCTTGATTTCTTGGACACTTTCTGGTATCTCTAGACCATCTAAAAATGTAAGTTGTGCAGAGACTGTATTTACATTTCTTAACACTAATTTTCTTAATGACTTTATTTCTCGAATTTTTTCATTTATAAGTTCTATGTTTAGTGGTATATCACGTTCTTTTGAGGATGGGAATGTTTTACGATAAAAACTTGATATTGTTTGGTCATAATGTAATTTTAAAACTTGAATATTTTCAATTTTAATAATTCTATATTGATTATTATTATTGGTAATATCTGTTTCATTTTTGTTATTGTTATTGTTATTGTTATTGTTATTGTTATTGTTATTGTTATTATTATTATTATTGTTATTATTATTGTTACTATTACTATTACTATTTTTCCTATTTTGTCTAAAAATATCTAAGAAACCTTTTTTTTTAACATGGGGTGGTGATTGTGGTTCTTTTTCTTTTTGGTATAAAAGTGTTGACGAGTTTAGATAATTGAAATCTGAAGACACAAAAATATTATCTGATAATGTCTTTAACCATGATTTAGAAACCAACGCAATGGTTAAAATTAATGATTTTATTTGATTTTCTTCTGTTCTATAATTTCCTCCTATAACAATTGGTTCGATGGCCTTACAATAACAATTAATTTCTCTACAAATAATATTTTTAATTAAATATTTTTGTAAATATAATGGTAAATTAATATTATTATTATTATTATCCATTTATTATTTGTATTTTTTTAAAAAAATTTATAAGAAAAAAAAAATTAAAAAATTAATTAAAAAAAAATAAAAATTTAAAAAAAAATATAAAAAAAAATCGTTTATAAAAAAAAAAATAATTTTAAGAGGATTTTAAATATAAATAAAATATTTTTTTTTAATCAATTTTTTTTATTATTTTTTACATTTTTAACATGATTTTAATTGTATAAATAATTATAGAAAAGAATGGAGAATAGAAGAAATTGCTCTTTTTAGAAAAATTTTAAGATAATATAAATATGCCCACAATATTAACCAACGACGATACACCCCTTAAGGAAAAAAAATATTTAAATCAATAAACTTTTTCAATAAATTGATTTTTGAAAATAGATTTTTTTTTTTTTTTTTTTTTTTTTTTTTTTTTTTTAAAAAAAGCTTTTCCACAGTTTTTCCCAAAGTATTTTTAGATTTTTTTTTTGGAATTTATCGAACAATTTTGACTCAATTTTTTTTTTTAAAAATTTTTATAAAGGTCATTCTATTGATTCCTTTTCAAAATTTCATTTTATTTTACCTCCTGATACATCATATTGGAACGAGATTACCTAAAATATTTTATATTTTGGTAAAAAAAAATAAAAAAAAATAAAAAAAATAAAAAAAATAAAACATATAAAAAGAAATGAAAATATTCAAAACTATTTTTTATTACCGGTAATCAACCAATAAAAATAAATAACAAATAATAATAATAATAAAAAATGCAAGAATTTGAATTTTTATACAATAAACCAACTGGATACATAGAACCAGGTAACATCCTTGAAGAATTAAATGAAGGACCACACCCAAAATTATTTACACCTATTAAAATAAGAGAATTAGAATTAAAAAATAGAGTAGTAGTTAGTCCAATGTGCACATATAGTAAGTATTTATTAATTTAAGTTTTTATAAAATTATTATCTAACCATAAAATTAATATTTTAAAAACCAATAATAGGTAGTAAAGAAGGTTATGCTAGTGATTTTCACTTGACTCATTATGGATCTTTTGTTAAATCAGGTGCTGGTTTAGTAGTTGTTGAAGCTTCAGCTGTCACAAGAGAACAACGTATATCATTTAGTGATTTAGGAATTTGGAGTGATGATCATATTCCAAACCTAAAGCGTATTGTAGATTTTGCTCATAAATATGATAGTGTAAGTGTACAATTATCTTAATTAATTTTTATTATTTATTTTTATTTTAAAAAAATATTAAATATATTAATTTATTTTTTTAAGAAAATTGGTATTCAACTTTCAGCTGCTGGTAGAAAAGCATCAACACTTCCACCATATGTAGATAATTCAGAATTTTCACATAAGACAGTTTTAGAAGATGACCCATCTGGCAATGGCTGGAAGGTTTCTGGTATCTCACCAATTGCATGGAACAGTTCAATGGTTGTACCAAAAGAAATGACCAAAGATGATATTGCTGAATTAATTGATTCATTTAAAAAAGCAACCATTCGTTCCATCGAAGCTGGTTTTGATGTTATCTGTTTACATTTTGCACATGGCTATCTTTTAAGTAGTGCTCTTTCACCAACTTCAAATAAAAGAACCGATGATTATGGTGGTTCATTTGAAGGTAGATTCAAGCTTGCCAAAGATATTATTTTAGCCGTAAGAAGTGTATGGAATGGTCCACTTACAGTACGTATATCTTGTGACGAATATATTGAAGGTGGTTGGACTAGTGATGACTCTGTTAGATTTTCATTAGAAATTGAAAAATTAGATGTAGATTTAATAGAATGCTCAAGTGGTGGTAATTCATCTGCTGCCAAAATCAAATCATTCCCACTCTACCAAGTCCCATTGGCTCACCATATTAAAAGATCAGTTTCAAAACTTTTAGTCGGGGCTGTTGGTTTAATTAACAATGCTGCAGACGCCGAATCAGTATTACAAGATAATAAAGCCGATTTAATTTTATTTGGTAGAGGATTTTTAAGAAACCCTTTCTTTACCCTAGAACTAGCAAATCAATTAAACCTTAAAGTTGAATATCCTCTTCAATACGATATGGGTAAATTATGGGGCGGCTTTTTTTAATTTTAATATTAAAAATAAATAAAACATATATATATAAATTAATAAATTAATAAATTAATAATTTAATAATTATAACTAAAAAATATTTCTTAAAACCTATTTATTTATTTTTTTCTTTTTCTATTTTTATTATTTTATTTGAAAATATTTTTAAAACATCATACTAAAAGAAGAAAAATTTTGTCACAAACTAAAAATAAAAAAAAATAAAAAATTAATTTAAAAAAAAATAAAAAATAAATTAATACAATTTTTTAAATTTTTGTTTTTTTTTTTGTTTTTTTTTGTTTCATTTTATTAAAATAATTAATATTTTTGTGAATAAATAATTAAAATAAAAAATAAAACAATAAAATAATATAAAATAGTAATTACAATAACAAAAAGAATATTTAATTAAAATAATAAAGTTTTTAAAAAGTGTATATTTCCCTATGAAGCTACATACAACTCTAATATATATTTATTAAAATATAGAAAGAAATTTAATTTAAAATTATCAGAAACACCTCTATTTAATCACGTATTATATTAAACAATGAAATAAAAATGAATTTTCAACCACAACCTTCATTACAAACTCCGCAACAACAGCAACCCATTCAATCCATTTTACAAAACAATACCCCATCCACACTGCCACCTCAGCAATCAATGCAGCAACCACCTCAACTACAAACACCACCACTACAACATCAAATACAACAAGATAATCCCTCTTCACCTTTTTTTAATAAATTAAAAAGACGAATGGATACAGAAGATAATGATGGATTTCAAACATGTAAAAAATTTTTATCCCAAGCTATGGCTGATAAAATTGGATTTCTTTCAATAAGTGATAATAGCCCAATGTCGCCAAATCAAATTAATGGCTCTCCAATACTAAATAATAATAATTTATTTCTTAATAATAATAATAATACTAATCATAATAATAACATTTTACCACCAATAGATATCAATAATCCATTTAACCTTCATTCATCGTCAATTACAAATAATGTACTATCACCATTTATCCCACCCAAAGAAAATAATGTAAATAATAATAATAACAATAATAATAATAATAATAATAATAATAATAATAATAATAATAATAATAATAATAACAATAACAATAACAATAATAATATAAATAATAATAATGGAGATAGTACAATGATGAAAATAGAAGATATAATTGAAAAAGATAAGGACAAGAACAAGGATAAAGATAATAAAAATAATAGCTCATTAGCAATTGTACCACTTTCATCCTCTACATCTAAATCTTCATCTGAATTATTGGGATCATTAACAAATAAATATAATCCAAACTATAGTAAAAAAGAAATAGATGCAGATAAAGATTTTAAAGATAAAATACAAAACATTACCAAAGTTGAAACTATAAAACCATTAAATGCAATGTTATCACAATTACCTACAATTAAATCCCCTGAAAGGTATTTTTAATAAAACATTAAGCTTATTTATATATCGATTACTAATTTAATAAATCTTTTTTTTTTTTTAAAATAAATTAAGTAAAACAACAGCAATAATATTATATTCGGAACCTTTAGAAGTTATATCGGGATCATAAGAAACGAAATGC